ATACTCACTGAAAGAAAGATAGCCTCTTTAACAATGGTGCTGGAAAAATTGGCTCTGTACATACAGAAAACTAAAACTTGACCCAGGTCTATCACCATGCACTAAGCTAAAGTCAAAATGGATTAAAGATCTAAACATTAAAACAGAAACACTAAATCTCCTGGAAGAGAAAGTAGGAGGAACTCTTGAAGACACAGGAGTAGGCAAAGAGTCCATGAACAAAAACCAAATGGCATGGGAAACAGCTGAAAGAATTAACAACTGGGACCTCCTCTTATTGAGAAGTTTTTGCACGTCAAAAGAAATTACCGGGGGCTGGTGAGATGGCTCAGTGGTCTAAAGCACCTACTTAGAACAAGCTAAGCTAAGCTAAGCAAAGCAAAGCAAAGCAAGGCACAGGGACCACGGTTCAATCTCCCAGCACCACATGCCAGCCCGCCCCGCCCCCTGGTGGGCTGAGCTGGCCACACACAAATAAATAAATAAATAAATTTATAGAAAAAAAAGAAATTACCAACAAAGTGAAAAGACAACCCACAAATTTGGAAGAAATCATCACAAATAAGTACTCAGACAAAGGTCTGCGCTCTAGAATTTATAAAGAACTAAAAAACACTAGGGCCCCAAAATTTAAAGACCCAGTCCAAAAATGGGTATCTGAGATGAACACACACTTCTCAGAGGATGAAATTAAAGAAGTGAATAAATATATGAAAAAATGCTCCACATCACTAGCCATCCATGAAATGCAAGAGGTATCATCTCACTCCAGAAAGAATGGCTATCATAAAGAAATCACCCAACAACAAATATTGGAGAGGCTGTGGGGAAAAAGGAACCCTTCTCAACTGCTGGTGAGAATGTAGACTGCTGTAATCATTATGGAAATCAGTGTGGAGAATCCTCAGAAAAGTTGGACTGGAAATCCCATTTAAACCAGCTATTCCTCTACTAGGAATTTTCCCGGAGGATCTGAAAACATCATATCGTAGTGATATATGTGAACCTATGTTTATAGCAGCACAATTTGTGATAGCCAAATGTTGGAAACAACCAAGATGCCCATCACCTGAGGAATGGATGAAAAAGATGTGGTACTTTTATACAATGGAGTATTACTCAGCTATAAAGAATGATAAACTCGAAGCCTTTATATTGAAGTGGATGCCACTTGAAGATATACTCATAAGTGAAATAAACCAGATACACATGTGTAAATATCGTAGTTTCCTTCATATAAGAACTCAAAAGAAGAAATAGAAATAGAAAGGTATAATACAATTAAAGGAAAGCAAGAACTTCAGGAGTAGACAATAAAGAGAGAACAAGGAGAAGAGCTAGGAAACATGACAGAGGCAAGCCATATAGTTATATGTAGAAGATGGTTAAGGCAATGATCCTGAGAGTCTTAAGATTTTCGAATCTAGCAGTTAATTGGGAAGATTCTCACCCTAACTATATATACTGACACCTGTGAACTAAGCAACTGCACTGAACATGGCAATTTGTATAGTAGGTTCATGCTTGGAGTGTCTGTCATTCTGGTCTTCTGAATACGGGCTGCTTGTCATGAAACGCCAGTTACTGCCATGCTGTCTCTCAGGGAGATGATTGTTTAAAAACGAAGAGGGTAGTGAATGAAGGCAGGAGACAGGAAAAGGAGTGTTGCTGGACTGTCCTGCAACAATGTTGTATATGTTTAGATTTCTGGACTTATGTGCAAATATATAGAATTCTTTATTCCTATTTTTAAAATATATTTTAATTTTTCTGTCATATTCTGTATGGACTTAAAGTTCAACATATGAATACTTTATGAAAAATACCTGTTCCGTGTTATGCCTAAGGTGTTTGATATTCAGACTGATAGTGAGGTTAAGCTCAACAGTCTAGGTTATATGGAAATGACAGTAAGCTTCTCTTCTGGAGGGTTAACCACCTAAGTTTGCAGACCAAAAACTAGAGAAAAAGGAGGGCCACAAGGAAAGCTAACGTTTTGGCCCTAGCCTTCCAAGGTCAATGAAGGCTCAGGACATATAAGAACTTGTACTGTAACATCATGTAACTCAGCTGTGTCCCAAATTTTCTGATCAAGGAGATTATGGGGCCAAAAAGGAAAGTGATCGATGATGTAAAGTGTGCATAAGGAGAGTCACATGGAGAGAAAACATTCTCTCAGGCTTTCACAGAGAGCAATTTGGCCAAGCAATGGCTGTGACTTATCCACATGGCTGACACTGACAAAGGATCTATAATCTGAGGTTCAGGGTCTCAGGATAAATCCTGAGGGAATTTGACTGACCTTAGCAGATCCAAAAGCTACAATTCTTGTTACATAGGTCTTGCTTTATGTTGGTCTTAACTATCCAGCAGAAAAGTATAAAAATGAAGTATAAGAAATAAAGCCAGTTGTTAAGTTGAGCTGTAGGGGACTCAGGGCAACAACTTCTGACAATGCCAGTCAAGTGGAAGACCCAATATTATTATGGACTACTGGACTATTTTGAAATATTTTGCTGAGTTCACACACCTATAATATTTAAATGATGGAACTAAACAAAAAAAGGGGGATATAGATGAATGTCCATTTTGTATCTGTGTATTCAAAATGGCTAGCTTACATAGTTACGTTCTCTTAATTCAAAGAATTGAGGGATTTGTTCTAATAGTGTTTGTAAATAGGATATCATGTCTGCATCTTGTACAACAAAGAACCACTAGGAAGGCAGTATACAATGTGTTAATTATTGGAACTGTCGTACCAATTTGATTTGAAACTGTCTCAGTGCTATTTCTCAATAAAATTATGGAAAAAAATTTTTTTAAATCAACAGTTAACTATAGTTGACACAGGAATAAAGGACAAAAGAAGAAAACAGAAGAAAGCAAATTCAATGAGACAACTAGCGCTTTGCTGAGGCAGGAGGATGGCTGTGAGTTTGAGGTTAGCCTCAACTACACAGTAAGACTCTGTCTCTCCACCTAACCAAAAGCCTCATGGAAAGATTAAGTATTTTATTTTGAAAGTAATACAAAAAAATATTTTATTTTGTTTCTATTTTTTGAGACCGGGTCATGCTATGTAGCCCAGGCTGGTCTTGAACTCATGGTGATCTGCCTGCCTCAGTCTCCCAAGTGCTAGGATTACAGGCATGTAGCCTATGTACGGCTCAAAATAAAATTTTTGACAGGTATCATGTGCAAGACTGAAATCCCAGCACTTGGGAGGCCAAAGCAGGAGGATCACTACAAATTTGAGGCCAGCTTAGGCTACATAGCAGATTCAAGATCTGCTTGAAATACACAGTAAGAACCTGTCTCAAAAACAGAAAATGCCGGGCAGGGTGGCACATGCATGTAATCCTGAGGTCCAGACCAGAATGGGGTACAAAGTGAGCTCAAGGCCAGCCTGAGGGTCAGGGAGATGGCTCAGTAGAATAACTGCTTACCTGGCAAGCACAAGGGCCTGAGTTCAAGCCCAGATTCCGGAAAAAAAAAAAAGGCCAGCCTGAACTGCAGATCGAGACCCTGTCTGAAAGATACCCCGCCCCTCTCAAATCAAAGTAAAACTGTAGTACATTCTGAAGTACAAGTATGGCCAATAGTTATTTTTCAACCACTAAGATCCAAATGGTTGGATTTTTAAAAAGAGTAAGCATATTTAGTCATATAGCACAAGTAACATTTGTTTAAAAGAAATATATTTGTTACAATTCTTACCTTCTCATAAATTTTAGTGATTTCTTCATTTGGGCTAAAAACTAGCTGTAATGAGCCACATCCTGATGCCCAGATAATTTTTTGTATAGCTCTAATCACACAAATTTCAGGCATGTATCTTGAAGCCTGCAAGATAATGAGTAATTAAAAATGTTGCTAGAATATTAGAGTAGAATGACTAGAAAATTAGAGTATTTCTTGTAAAGAAATAAAAAAGCCCCCATCTTTCAGGTTCTCAAGTTGCCTTTGTTCCCCCCCCCCTTTTTTTGCTTAAATAGCAGTAACACAAAATATTCCTCCAACTGAGTGAGTACTGGTCCATGCACTACTTTAATCAGACTCTTAAGCCTACAAAGACAATCATCCCACTTTTTGTTGCCTACTCAAGGGAAATGAAATTCTCTGTCTACACATATATACAATGTTCACAGTAGCTTTATTCACAGCCCAAAGTGGAAATACTCCTAGTGGATAGAGATGAATAAAATGTGAAATAGTCGTAATAGGACACTATTCAGCAATAAAAGGAATGAACTGAGTCCCAACATAGACAATTCTGTAGGTCATTATTTTTAGTGACAAAAGCCAGACACAAAAGAACAGACAGCATAATTCATTTGTATAAAATTCTAGAAAATGCAAATTCCTCTACAGGGACAACAATATCTGGTTACCTGAGATTGGAGCTGGAAGGAAGAATGGACTTCAATGGGACATAAGAAAAAGGTAATAGAAATATTCTGCAACTTAGCATTGCATGCACTAAAGCCCTGAGTGTGAGTCACAGAATCACTCACACACACAAAATTTTGTGCAGTGATTTCACATGTGTTTGGTTTGTTGGTATTCACTGAACTATGCATTTCTGATGAAGGATACTGATGATCATATATGCAGTTGATTAAAAAAAGTGCTAATGCTAATAAATTGATGTGAAGGTTGAGTTAGTAAAATGAGTCAAACAAAATTAAACCTACCCTTATAATAAATTTTACAATAAAACCTTCTTACAGTTTTTTTGAGATAGGGTCTCGCTATGCAGTTCAGGCTGGCCTTCATCTCATGGTAATTCTCTGGCTTCAGCCTCCCAAATGGAGAGATCACAGGTATACATTACCAAGCATGGTTTATAACACTTGTACATAAATAAAGCCCACAAAACCTTTATAAAACTAACCTCATCAGATATCTGCTGAGCAAGACGAACTGATACATTTCTAAGCATGCATTCAGATGATGGGTTAGGAATGCTCTGAAGGGCACTTTGTAGCACCACAGCTTGATCATGAGTAACTTGATTGACCTAGAAAAAGTTAACCATTTTACATTAGTAGATACCTTGCACAGTGAAGTGCCCCATGTCTTTCACAAGCCTCTGTTCTAGATCAATTCAACTCGTGTCTCTGCCCCTGGTTCAGCTTAACTTGCAGGAGGTGAATGAGAAACTGAACAGGCTGGGTTCAACTTCACGTAAAGACTGACTAAACTACCACACATCTTTTATACGTGTAACCCTGAGGAGACGCTGCTTGTATTCCCCATCAAATTCTGCTTCAAAAAGAACAAACAGGGATAACATATGAAAAATAATGGTGCTTTTATTTAATACTACAACTAAGTTTTCAAGTTAATGCGAAACAAGATTAACTTAAGATATTCCAGTACTAGTTTTACATTTAGCTCCCTACTGACTGTGAGCTCCTTCTGATCGGAGGCCATTATGTACCTTGCCACCCATAGTGGCATACTTGCTAATAACAAAGGAAAGATAAACAGAGTTGTCCACCATTATTTTCTGCGTACTTCACTAAGTGCCTGTGTCAGGGTCATGAATAGAATCTGTTTTTATCCTAACAAGAAATCATCTGTTTTTAAACTTAATACAAAAACTACTTTTTAAAATCCCAACGAAGGGCTGGGGAGATAGCTCAGTGGAGTAAGTGCTTGTCTGGCAAGCACAAGGTCCTGAGTTCAATCTCTGGTACCACAAAAAATAAAAAAAAAAAATAAAATCTCAACAAAATGGACCCTCAATTAAAAAACAAGCAGTATAAAACTAGTCACTTCTACATACAGCCTACTGTCCCCAGAGCATTTACAGTGAGCTATATCACTAGTCTTTTAAAAATATTTTTAAAATTTTTTTTAATTTTCTTATTTTTTGAGATGGAGCTAGCCATGTAGTTCAGGCTGACCTAGACTACGTAGGCCAGACTGGCCTTACACTTGTGATCTTCTTGTGTCAGGGTGCCCAGTGCTTGGATTATAGGCATGCGGCACCACACCTGGCTAAAAGCTTTACACTTTGAGACAAGTTTTTCAGAATAGGTTTGAATTTGCAATACTTCTGGTTCAGCCTCCTCTCCTAAGTACCTAGAATTACAGGGTTATCCCACTGGGCCTAGCTAAGTGTTTATTCTCTCATTTCAATAAAATTCACTTTTAATCTGACAGTAGATCCATCTCAAGACTGTTCCCAGGCAAACCTTGCATATAAGTTTATCTGTAAATATTTCAGCAATTATTTCAAGGACACAGGAGTTCTTCCTTTAGAATATAACATCATACTTGTAACTACTACAGTAGGTAGTGTTATCATGGTTATTAACATTCCAATCTTCTCCGGTTAAGATCCAAATCATTTCTAAAGGGGAAAATCTGTTATGCCTGAAACTTTCATCTTCTATCTGTAACTTATCAAGACTACCACTTATGATACATATTAAAGAACTAGAATTTCAGAATTAAATTCATAGTTTGACTTCTTATAACTAGGTAACACATTCTGGCTAATACATATTGAGAACTTTTGGAGTTGTAGATCAAGGGCTGATCACATGGCAAAGATAGAACTGAAGAATAAGCCAAAGATCAAGAATAAGCAACGACCAAATTTAACTACAACTCTTTTTCTTGGGGTGGGGAATGAGGTAGGGTCTTACACTATACTTCAGACTAGACTAGAACTCACAGCAAACCTGCTTCAGCCTTCCAAGTGCTGGGATTACAGGCAGTCACCACCATGTCCAGTAGCATTTTTATTTATAAGAGGAAAACTAAAACAAGGTACCCAACTAGAAAGGATCTTTCCACATTTTGAGCCAACCTTGAACTCTACACTTAAAAGATGCTAAGAAGTTTAGTCTTAAAAATTACTATGCACTGGTGTAAAAAGATTGTTTGAAAATGTGCATTACCGATGTCATGAGATTCACGCCTTCTACACCCGGCTGACAAGCTTCTGCCACAGCCCGAACATGGCCATACCCAATGGCAGTTAGTAACAGTTTGGCTATTTTAAGAGCATTGAGGTAGGCACCCCTTCGAGTTTCCATATCTGCATTTGGTAGGAAGTTATTTCTGGTTAGCATACTCAGAACAAGGGGTAGGCCACCACTTTTCAAGAAGTGAAATTGAAAATCAGAGGAATCATCAGCAAGAGGTGCACCAGCAGGCATTAACAAGGCATAGACTACCTGGAAAAAAGGGAAGAAAGTGCTGTATTAAAAGGTCTTCAAAAATAATGTATTTTTTGTTGTTTTTGAGACAGGGTATCATTATGTAGTTCAGGCTGGCCTTGAACTCACTAAGTAGCCCAGGCTGGCTTTGAACTCATGGCAATCCTGCCTCAGGCTCCTTGAGTGCTGGGATTATAAGTCTGTGCCAACATATCCAAAAGTAATGTAATAATTTCTATTATCCCTAGCATCACCACTAAGAAATTCTCAACCATTTCAAAACCATCTCATTATAATTTTATCCATGTTCTTCACATTAACACTTTTTAAAAGGTCAAATTTTTAAAACATGGAATAAACTCAAAAGGCAAAAAACGAACCTCTGTTAGGTAAAGCACTTGTGAGGCAGAAGGACCAAAGAAAAGTGAATCAAGAGATGGGCTAAGGCTGCTTTCTCCAAGTTTGGCGTGGTCTAAACAAATAGCTCTTAATTTTTCTATTGTTGTGCTATCTATAAGAGAGAGAGAGAGAGAGAAGGTCAAAAACAAAATTCATTTGTTAACAATATTCTATTTCTGACATTTTAAAGACTATTTTGAAAGGAACAGTTAGTACTTATATTGTTTGATCAATTTTGTAGGTCTGTATCTAGTATTCTGAGCAAGTACTTTGAAGATAACAACATACAACCACTATTAACTTCCTATCATCCTGTTTTGAAATTCTGTAACATTTTTATTTTTTCCCCCTGGAAAAAAAGAAATGGAGAAACAATTTGGGTTCTAAGCTTAAATTTTATAAGATACAATCAGACCGGGATTGATTTTTAAAAAATTTTGGAAAACAAACGACCAGGGCCTCCTAATCAGTCAGCCTAAGTACAAAGGGAGCAACTAGTTTCCCATATACAGGCCTCCTGTCAACATGCAATCTACCACTGAAGGAAATACAATACCAAGTTGTTCTCATTGAAAGGAACAAAAAAAATACAAGTTCTTGCATCCAACTTTTCCATTGTTTGACCCTATGACACTGTATTAATTAGCCTGCTTCACTAAGATTGGTACCCAAGAAACTAAACCCTCAAAATCAAACATATAGGCTAGAGACATAGCTCAGTGGCATAAACACCTTCCTGGCAAGAGCGAGGTCCTGAGTTTTATTGCCAGTACCGCCAAAACAACAAAAAAACAAACAAAAATATAGCGCAGAGCATTTATACCAATGTACACATAACTGAGGTTTTCTCTTTTGTCGTATTATTAAAACATGAGTGTCTCTGCTCTTTCTCTGGTATCAAGGATTGAAAAACAGCTGGAGGGGCCAGGGAGATGGCTCAGTAGAATAAGCTCTTGCCTGGCAAGCACAAGGGCCTGCGTTCAATCCCTGGTTCCACAAAAAGAAAGAAAAATAGCTGGAACTCTAGTCCTTTCCTAGGACAGTTTTATAGGCCTGGAAACAAAGGTCATATTTTATAAAATATTAAAATTCTGTAATAAAATAATTGTAAATATCTTCATCGTAGTAACTGTCATGTCCATCATTTTCTCTGATGATTAAAATGAATTATTTTGCCAGTTTAATTCCTCTTACCTGGCATTTAGACATCCCTACTTTTTTTTATACTAAATATCCTAGTAGCTAAATCTTTTGTAATTATTTTCATCATGAAAATCCAGTAAGCAGAAAAAACTAGGACCTAAAAAGTCCAATCCTAACATGCATTGAGCCAACTTACTACCTAAAAAGAAACTAATTCCTGTATCTGAATGTAAATCTTGCTTGGCTTCAAAATATCATGAGGTGGATGGCACTAAAACGGTACAGAAGAAAAGAAACAAGAGCTTAAGAAAAGGCAGCAGTGAATTCTAAGTAAATCATTTAATAGTGTTGGGTTATAGTTCACTCACTTGACGAGTCCAAACCAAATGTCATTACAAATATAAGTCCATTTCAGGTAAATAAATTGTTTAATGCAAAAAATAAAAACAAATACTATTACAGTGCTTGTTATCTATGCACACAAATGATTTTAGGCCCTTAATTTTATATATATGCTCATTTTACTGTAAAATACAGAAGAGAAAAATTTAAACCTCCCATAATCCTATCATCCAGGGATAAAGTTAGGCTATCTCTAGTCTTTGCAACTCACTGTTTCATAAAGGAATATGAACCTTAGTACTGAGCAAAAGGCTGTTTCCCAGTTCCATGTAGAGAAAAGACAGAGTAGCTTTTAAGACTAGTGTAGGTTATACACACATATGGACAAACACTAAATGATTGTCCAAATGTCACACTGCTACTTTACCACAGCCAGAAACAAAATTTATAACTACTTCCTTTTCTTAATAGCTTCTGCTTCTCTTTTTCTGTCTGAGGCAGGCTTCTTGCAATGTTGCCTGGGCTAATCTCTCAGGGCTCAAATGATCCTCCTGGAAGCCAGGCATGGTGGCACAGGCCTGTAATCCTAGTACTCGGGAGACTGAGGCAAGAGAATCAACACTGAGTTCAAAGCCTGCCTATATACACAGTGAAACCCTGTGTCAATAACTAAATAAATAAAATCCCACAAAAAATGAGGAACAATTGCAAAGTACCATGTTATTAGCATAGTGCAGAAGGTGTGTTCATTTGTGATTTCTCCTAGGTAATTACAGCCACACTATCAGAGAAAGAACTTAAATCTTCAAGGAAACTAAGCAAACAAAAACACCAGACTGATGATAGTGGTGCAGTTAAGTCCATTTAACTATTTTAAAGGAAAATATACAGTGAGCACCTGCACCCAGGGCTCATCCTAGTAGTATGCTCTCAGACTTCATGACTTTTGGCAGATTTTACTTCTCTGGTGCCCATGTTAATGGAAGCTCATCTGTCTCAGAGCTGCACTTCCTTTTGTATTATTTCAGGATCATCAAACTAGCATTTCTTCTCTGGTAGTGTTATTTTCTTCTAGGACACCTTCAGCCACACTGAACTACCTGTTTGGACTGTCCATACTGTCCCAGAAGATACTAATTATTAGTCTTATTAGTCCTCTGTTTTAAGATTTCTTGTGGAAGTGGAGAGGAACACCTTAAGCAGTGAGTTAGAGATCATGCAGGGGGAGGAGTCTACATAAGAGGATGCCTCAGGATAGATTCAACTCAAGCAGAATAAGGATAATATCCATAGACTGAGTACGGATTAACACTGAGAGCCACAGTCCTGTACAGAGAAAAGGCTGCTGGTGATGGTGGTGACTCATTACGTTATGATCAACTAAACACAAAAGTGTTAAAGGATACTGGTAGCCAGGCTTTGGAGTAATCTTAGTTTCTTTTTAAAGTATTCCAACATACACACATATATAGTATATGCATGTATGTGTATAAGGAAGCAAGGTTCCTTGGAGAAATGGCCAACTCTAGGACTGGGGCACAGGGAATATAAGTGGTCAGCCTAGAACAACTCAAGCCAACAAACAGGGGTGTGTGCTCATAGAGAAGTGAGAACATGTGAAAGCGACAGCCTTGAAGGAGTTACTGCTAAGAGATAAGCTGAGCAAAAGAAGTGATGGTAACCAACTGTACCTCCGCACAATACTTAACTACAAAGGGAAAAGAGTAAATTTATAGTGGAGAAGTAAAAAACTCAAGTGATCACAGAAACCATAATGAGCAATGGGTAAACTGCAATCATGCACCATCTGACTGGATACATTAAGAACAGAGCATCACTTCTGTGGGATTCTCATCATGGATGAACCTGTATTTGATCATGATATAACAAAGCCAAAAATTACCTAACTTGTAATCTTAAAATAAGTTTTCACGTCATGAAAGTCAAAGACAAAATGAGGAACTATTCCAAAAGAAAACTAAAAAACTACGTCAACTAAGTGTAATGTATGACTGATTTAGCTTTCTGAGATAGGGTCTTGCTGTGTAGTTTAGGCTGGCCTTGAACTCATGCAGCCCACACTGGTCTCAAACTCACAGTGATCCTCCAACTTTGGTCACACGAGTGCTAGGAATGCAAGTGTGCATCACCACACCTGGTAGTAATGTACGATTTTTGAACTTCAATTTTCCACTCTAGGGCTGGCCAAATAGCTCAGGGGATTAAAGTGCCTGCAATCAGGTGCAGGGGCCAGGGGTTCGATCCCGGGACCTGCTATGCCAACCCCACCCCCGGGGGTGTACTGAGATGGCAACTGAGACTGGGTGTGGTGGTACACATCTGTAATCCCAGCTCTTGGGAGGCTGTAAACAGGCAGATCACTACGAGTCTGATCTAGTAATGAGAGTGTGAACACCCTGTAGACCCTTACCTAAAATACAAAACAAAAAGTGAAAAAGGAGCCCCATGTTCCAGAATGGCGGCAGCGGCCACACCACGTTCCAGAATGGCACCAGCATGGAGAAATTATTCCTTGGGATCAGAGTCAGAGTACTCAGCCATCCAGGGACTCGACCCCTACAGCCAAGAGAGGAAAACCTGGCTACTACTCCAGCTGGCAGCAGACCTTGGCATCACCCATGTGGCATTGGTTTTAGGTGCATTCAGAATGCAGGAGTTCTGAAGTTAAGAAGGCTTCCACCTCGATTTCAGAAGGCCTGGAAGGCCAGGCAGTGTGCTCCCAAGAGGGCAGTGTGTGAAGCTGTGAGAGAGAAGCCTATTCAGTGGAAACCCCAGAAGTTTGGAAAAGCCAGGAACATGAATCGTCTAAGGGAAACTGCAAGAAGGGAGCAAAGCAGGCCTGAGAAATAAGCCATAGGAGCTATAACCATCAGAAGTGCCATAGAGGTGGAGCCACATGGAGATCACACTGCATCACAGATTGCTTCAGATGTCCCACATGGAACTGCAGGACTTAATGTTTACCCTGCTGGATTTTGGACTTGTGTTGGTCCCAATGCTTGGTATCCTGCTGTGTGTACCTTTTGGAATGGTAATGTTTATCTTATGCCTTTGAATGTTGCAAGTGTTTTACTTTTCTTTTGTACAGGGGCTCACAGCTGAGAGTATGCCTTGAATCTTGGAGGAGACTTGGGACTTGGACTTTTCAGCAATGCTGAAACTGTTGGGACTTTGGCAACTCTTAGAGATGGACTAGAATGGCTTTTGCATAAGGGGACGAGCATGAGTCTTTGGGGGTCCAGGGGTGGAATGTTATGGTTTGTGTATAGGTCTCCCCCTAAAGCCTCATACAGTCTTTGGGGGCTTCTGAAGTTTGTGATTACTGTGGGTGTGGATGCTGAACCTGCCATGGGGCAGGTAATATGCATTTCAATGTAAAGAGGAAAGAGAAGTTAGCTGCTTGAGCTGCTGCTACTCCTCCTTTTGTGTTCTTGCCCTTTGCCCATGAAAGGTTGCTCTCTGCTATGTGTGCCACTCTGCCTTGGACCCAGCTGAATATGGACTGAAACCTCCAGTAACTGTGAGCTAAATAAACCTTTTCTTCCTTAAAGAAAAAAAAAGTGAAAAAAATTTTCCACTGTACAGAGAAGATTCAGACTCTTATAT